CTGCTGAAGCTCTTTCGTTGGGTACAATCCCACTTGTCTGTTTGTCACCTTTGTTACAGTTGATTTTCACCATTAAGCGCTTAATCGCACCTTCTGTGGGAGAACCAGACTCTGAGGCGGGCGCCTTCACACCTCGCATGAGGTTTCCAAAGTCATTATGTGGCTTTGCTTTTAACCAGATCGGCAAATAGGTGGCCTGATTCATAAACACTAGGAAGGGGCACTTCCCGACCACTTACGGCCACCACGTCTTTGGGGAACGTGTGGTAAAGCGTTTTTGCCCGGGCAAACAAAAGTCACTGCCCACAAGAGTGAATAACACACACTGGGCTGGACTGCTCACGGGAGCAGGCCTGGGCACCCCGCGTCTCCCGAGCTCTGCACGGCTGTGCTCCAAGGGCTTTGGGTTCCAGACCCGGCTGCAAGAGGCCGGGGCGGCCGATTCAGGGGTGGGGGTCATTCGGCTGGCTGTCCGCGTCCCCTCAGCCCGCAGTGCGCGTGGGGACGCATTACCTGGCATGAGGCCACCTGAAGAGCCTTGAGCATCTGCATGCGGGCACCTGCTGGTTCTCTGCAGATTTCCAGCGCTTTGGCTGGATTCCTCCATGGGAAGCCACCCACCCGGCCACCCCCACCCCTTCCCCAGCCCTGAGGCCTGGAACTCTAGCCATTGACCTCTCCAAGCCAGTTCCCTCCACCTTAGCCCTTAAGTACAAAGGAGATTGTTGTTTTTTTTTTTTTTTTTGAAGTGAAATTCACATAACATAAAACTGACCTCTTTTTTTTTTATTTTGCCTTTTGGAGACAGGGTTTCACTATGCAGCCCAGGCTGGCCTCTTATAGCCTAGGCTGGCCTCAAACTCACAGCAATCCTCCTGCCTCAGCCTCCTGAGTGCTGGGATGATGGGTGTGCACCATTATGCCTGGCCTAAAACTCATCATTCTATAGTGAACACTTTCATAGTAGCAACTTTGCGCACAGCACTGTGAAACCATTATCTTTCACATTACGGGTTCACTTCCTGCTCCTCCCCTCCCAGCCTTTGGCACACACCAGTCTGCTTCCTGTCTGTGTGGGATTGCCTGAGTATTCCATGTCAGTGGACTCATTGCAGCACGTAAGTCTTTCTGTGTCTAGGTTATTGTACTTAGCACGATGCTTTTGTGGTTCTCTCACACTGTGATACATTTCATTCTTTCCTGTGTGGCTGAATCATGGCCCCTTAGCTCTTGTGAATAGTTCTGTTATGAATGTTTATAAACAGATACTTGTTGGTGCCTGGTTTTTTTTTGTTTGTTTGTTTGGTTTTTTTTTTTGGTTTTTCTCCGGTACCGGGAATCGAACTCAGGTGCCTGGTTTTAATCCTTCAGCTGAAGTGAGGCTTTACATTTGGCAAAACCTAATTGCCTTTCACTGTCTCTCTTCTCCTCCCACTCAGCAAAAGATGCATTTTAATTGGTTGTATTGCCCATAAAGGAAATTCTGGGGGCCAAATTCATCAGCAAGCATCAGTTCAGCTGAGTAAGTCCACAAGCTCTCCCCATGCCCGTTGTTATTCTGATATGCATTGTGTTAGTCAGCTTCTCAGTTACTGTGACAAAATGCCTGAGACACCAGACATAAAAAGGAGGGAAGGTTAAGCTTGGCTCACAGTTTTGGAAGTTTCAGTGATCAAACTACAGCAAGAAGGCAACAAGCTTCCATCTGGAGGGTGCGCCATCCCCGGAGGAGCAGGGTGCACCCGGCAACCTGCCCCAGGGCTGTGCAGGGTCTGCTCCAGCGCTGAGGGTCGGCGAGCGGTAGGGTGGGCACTGAGCAGATTAGTCTGAAATTGGAAACCCCAGGGATGGCTTGGCAAAGCCAGCTGGGGAACGGAGGAATGCAGGGCTGCAGTGGCTTTCTGTTAGAATGCTCTTCACCACCCAGTGGACACCAAGCTTCTTCACAGGAAAAGCTGCTGAGAGATGCAAAGCTCCTAACCAAACCATGGAAGTAAAGCTGCACACCATGGCCACGGGCAGCCTGAAGGACAGACGCAGCTGTTCTACCCACAGCTGACTGCGGACAACTTCTTTACACTTTCCGCTGTCTGTTTTCTCAGGAGAGCATGCAAATGGTTACACCTCTGCCTTCTGCGTCAGGCTGCGGTCAGCACACAGCAGTGTAGCAGTGACTTATAAGTACACTCAGTTCAGCGGTGCCTGGTACCAAGAACAGGGGCTCCCTATATAGCCTCTTCTTTATGATTAGGATCATTTAATTATTATTTCCACCCTTGGAACTAGAACATAGTTATAGATCTAACAACATGGTGAGCTGGGCATGGTGTGCACACGTGTAATCCTGGAACTCTGGGAGGCTGAGGCAGGAGGATCACAAATTCGAGCCCAGCCTAGGCAATTTAGCAACTTAGCAGGAGGCTGTCTCAAAAAATTATTAAAAGTAAAAGTTTTCTTTAAGGGGGCTGGTGATATTGTCCAGTGTGAAGTTCCTGGGGGTCAATCCCCAGTACCACAAAACGAACAAGCAAAACCCCACCAAGATGGGGCAGCGCGGTATAGTGTCCTGAGTTCAGTTAAAATCTACCTCCACTTCCTACTGGCTTCGTGAACTTCAGCATTAAGTTACTTAATGTCTCGGACTGGGAATGTTTCCCTCCATAAAATAAGGACAAGCCTGCTCATCAGAGGCTGCTGTGAAGAAAGCAGCTAGCATAGCACCCAGCACTGGTAGCAGACAACATCTATCTGGTCATTTGAGTGCTGTGGTTCCCGAACAGAGCCGCATCACACCATCACATTTTAGGAGCAGGAATCCCTCAGCCTGGTCTCTGGAGAGTGAGATTCACAGCCCCATTCGGGGCTGAGCACTGGTATTTTCCACGGTTCTTGAAGAGATTCTCAGCTGCAGCCAGGGCTGAGGGCTACGCCCCAGCAGATGATATTACACACTGGGGTTTCAAAGTATCTGTCCCCAGGAGAGCAATCACAACAGCAGGAATTCTGGGCAGAGTCAAGAATTCACTACACCTGCAGCTCTAAGCCCTTGATAAGAAACGGGCAGCCAAGGAATTGCATTCCATTTTATTCTGGGAAAAAAACAATTTCAGAGTCTCAGAAGAAAAGCTCTGCACTGGAGAGGTGGTAAATAGTTTAGCCTAAGCCTCACACATAAAATATGGGGACTCCCAGTAGGCTGGGAGTTTATATCTGGGGGTGATTCCAGGGTTTTGTCTTCCCAGGAGGCATAAATTGAGGCCTGGAGGGTTTAACGTAGGGGAGGAGAAAGGGTTCTCATAACGACACCTTGAACATCTCAGGCTCGCTAATGCCGGGGACAGAAGAGCGGGTCTGTAACAGCAGGGGTGGCAGGGGGTGGGGCAGGATTCTGGTCCCATACTGAGGTTTCCAGCATGTAAACCTAGGTCATCGAGAACCTTCGTTTTCCCCATAGGTTTATGGTATTAGTTACCCAATAAAAGTTGGGTTAATTTTACAACCCAAGTAAAATTTAAGCCAAAAAGGCTTCAGCATTACTCTAGGATTTATGAAAGTAAACACACGGAGTACTTGTAGGGCCGGTGACATTAAAATCTCAATGTCTTCATGTCAGGTATGTGATGTATTTACTTGTGTGTGGACTTAAAGGTTACATTCTTAAGAGCTCTGCAATACAGACTGTTTTGGAGACTAAAACAAAGACACTTGCTCCGTCCTCGCCTGCAGAGATCAGGGAACAGAAACCTGCAGAAAATGGGGGGCTTTGCCAGACCCTGGCACCCACTGAGCCAGGGTGGAGCCTAGCACTGTGCTCCAGCCACGGCCCACCTTATTGAGTGAACATCTGTCTTTTGGTGCGTGTCCTCCTTGATCGTTGTGGATACTTTAATAATCACCATCACATGCCAGCTGTGCGGTGTGAAAAGCCTTACCTGCCTCGGCTGCGGCTGCACCTGTCGGGTAGGGGGCAGTTCCCTCACACAGATAAGAAGACCATGACAGCAGAGAAAGGGGGCAGTGGTGTTGGGTGGAGCTGGTGTGTGGACAGCAGGGGGTGGGCAGTGGTGTTGGGTGGAGCTGGTGTGTGGACAGCAGGGGGTGGGCAGAGCAGAGGCATGGAGGGGCATCCACCCACAGCCACGTGGCAGCCTCTGGCATGGCATCGGGGGGATGTGTGGCGCTCTGCGTCCTGAGCCACCTCAAGCTCCCGGGCGAGGTCCTGGCCTCTGTCCTTCCAAGCTGGATCCGCCATCTTGGGTCCTGCCCTCCGGTCCTGCCATGAATTGTGTCATGCTCTGGTGTCCCGTCTTCACGACAAAATCTATGCCCCTTTTTTATGTAACACTGTAATTTTGTGGCAGTAAAATGTTAATAAGACCTTTTGAAAATGCTAGGGGACCACGAAGGCGAGATTTCCCTGGATTTTCCCCGAGGTTCCCTGGGGTCCGGTGACCCGTTTGGAATTCTCTGGCATGGGCCTGCCTTGCGGAGGCAGCACTGATGGGCCTCGAGCCGGGCCGAGCACCTGCCCGCGGTCTCTGGCTCCCCGCAGCCTCGGGTCCTCCTCGCTGACACGTCACTTGGAGCGGGCCTGTGGCCGATGCGCCTGGGCCTTCGCAGCCCGTGAAGCAGAAACAGTCTGTGCTTCAGACAGGAGACTGGAGCACATGTGTCCAGACTTTCGGCTCATTTCCTCTCCGCTCTCACAACTACATCATCTTCTAGCCCACCACCAGCTGCGAAAATAAAAGCATTTTCTCCTGCACTTAAGGATGATTTTGTGCTTCAGGATGGTTTTCTGGGGGTGTAGGAAACGAGACCAACGTGAGCAACAGATGTTTCAGGCGGTGTGCGAAGGCTGAAGGAAGCCTAAGGGCTCGAGCGCCGTCTGTAGGATACGGTGCCCAACTGCGCCCCCTGGTGACCCCTTCGGGCATCGCGTAGCCGGCGCCCGAGGCGCGGGTGGGGTGCGCTGGCTAATGGCTCTGCTCTGTATTTAGGGACGAGTACGAGGAAGACGGATTCTGCCAGCCGTACCGAGGGATTGCTTGCGCGCGGTTTATTGGCAACCGCACCGTCTACATGGAGTCTCTACACATGCAAGGGGAAATAGAAAACCAGATCACAGGTGGGTAACCCCAGCGAGAGGATGTTTATCCCTTGAGCAACTTATCCTCACCAAAGTCAATCGAGGCAAAGGACGAGGCTGGCGTGGGGGCTGGGAGCAGGACCGTGAAGACGCGGGAGACGTCATCTCTGAGCTCTGGAATTTACATTAAAATAATTTACTGAAGGCTGCTTTTAGAGGAAAAGACAGCTTTGAGAAATCTCACATTCACTCAAACACTCAATAAATATTTTTGAGTACTTGTAGCATGGCCTGGCCACGGTTGGAGGGTGTGGTGATAAGCAGGGTCTGCTCTGCCCTCGCGGGCTCACGGTTTGGGAGCTGCGCTCAGCTGTAATCCCAGAGCCTCAGCGACTCACGGGAGAGGCCTCCTCGCGTGGAAAGCGCTTCTTCACGCAAATCACTCCTTCCTCTGCGATGCCCCTGCTCCACCTTGTAGTGGTAGAAATCTAACGGTGGAGCCCTCTCGGGTACACACGAGTGTGGTAGTGCAAGCCATGCAACCCAGGGTTGTAGCTGTCGTGTGTCCCTCATGTGAGTGTGTCACTGTGTGCCGGGGCCACATGCTTTTTTCAGTCCTTTAAAACACACTGGAACTCGTGAGGTTCTGGTGAGATCACCCCACGCAGCCCCGTGCAGCAGGTGCTGATACGGGACACCCAGCTACGCCTGCGTTTCAGATAAGCACCACATCTTTTAGAATTTGTCTGAGTCAGCCATGGTCTGGTAGCGCAGCTGGTGACTGGAGAGTTTAGTAGAGGTGAGAGGAAACCAATGCAGGAGCATGGGGCAGCAGAAAGCTCAGAAATCAGTCGGGTCGGGCAGGGTCAGGGAGCCGTCAGGGCCTGGGGGAGCTCTTTCCCTGAGAACAGCTGCAGGAAGACAGGGAGACCCCTAGCCAAAGCCACCAGGCCTTCAAAAGCAAAGAAGAGGACGTCTCTGAAATGTCAAAGAGCAGACACAGTCTGATAGGGCGGACCCGTTGACAGCACCTTTCCGCCCAATCTTAATTAATTTGGCCCATTAAGTAAACAGGGGGCCTGCGGTAAGTGTCTGGTAACCCCCTCACAATAACCTTCTCAAGGAGACGTTTGTGGACATCAGCTCACTGGGAGGAATTACTATTTAGGCATTTGTGTAATCTGTGTTGCCAGCATTTCCCAAGTGGGTTTGGGCCACAGTCCTTCACATACTGTTAGTAGCATTCTGTGGATTACACCCGGGAACAACCTTCAGGAAGCGTTGTACCCACACACTCACGGCTGCCCCAGAGGGCAGTACTGACTGCACAGACGTCCTGTGGTGCAGGAGGGCCAGCAACAGGACCAGACAGTTCTATGTGTGCTGCCCTGGGACCCCGGCGGTACCTTTGGGAACAGGCTGTGTGAGAAGGTCCACAGGGCTGCCTCATTTTCAGAAGACGGGGCAGAAAGTGTGGGGTCCCAGGGCAACGCTGCAAGTTCCCAGAGCCCGCCAGGCCCGCAGCTGAGCCCAGTCGGGCTGCCGCCCCCGCCCGCAGCACGTTCTGCCTCCCTGAGCCACAAAACTAATAAAAAGGGCCGGATGAGACACAGAGTTCCAGCGCTTTGTAGTAAAAAATGAAAAATAGATTGTGCTTTAACCTAATTAATTATTTTATTAGGAAATGGTACATATGTAACCTTATCCTTTTTTTTTTTTTTTTAAACTTTGTAGTCAAAATGATTTTTTGGAGCCAGTGAGAGCTAGCTGCTTAGACATCTGAAATGCATCTCCTCCCTGGGCCCCTGGGCCTGGGGCGGCAGATTCCTCCAGTGCGAGGGCAGCCGGTCTGCCAATCGATCTGTGGCCTGGGCGGCCAGCTCATCACGGCCTTGTCTTTCAGCCGCCTTCACCATGATCGGCACCTCCAGTCACCTGTCCGACGAGTGTTCACAGTTCGCCATCCCCTCCCTGTGCCACTACGCCTTCCCCTACTGCGACGAAACCTCGGCTGCCCCGAAGCCCCGAGACTTGTGCCGCGACGAGTGTGAGATTCTGGAGAACGTCCTGTGTCAGACAGAGTACATATTCGCGAGATCCAACCCCATGATCCTCATGCGCCTGAAGCTGCCCAACTGTGAAGACCTCCCCCAGCCGGAGAGCCCGGAAGCCGCGCACTGCATCCGCATCGGCATCCCCATGGCGGATCCCATCAATAAAAGTAAGTGTTGTCCCTGACCTCCTGGTCAGCCTGGAGGGTCAGCAGCCCTGTGGCACAGTGCAGAGGGGATGTGGATGAACGGTCGGGTCACACTGGGCCTCATGGGTAGTGGATGACCCCCTTCTGGTGGGTTGTACATCCTGCCCTGTTCATGGTGTCCAGATACATGAAGCTTCATGAAGACAATTTAAAGTGTAGGCTTGGGTATCTCAGTAACTTCCACAGACTTCCCATAAGACCCAGTGGTTCTGCCCCGAGTATATAGTCAAGATAATTGAACACAGGCACTAAAACAAAACCTCATTGAAGAGTGTTCAGAATAGCACTATTGGTGGTAGCTAAAAAGTAAAGACAACCCAGATCTGTCCATGCAGGGACAGATAAACAAATTGTGGTATATCTACAGAAGGGAATATTATTTACCCATAAAAAGGAAGGAAATGCAGATACATGCTGCACCTAGGGGAAGTGTGAAGGCTTTACATGAAGTAGAAGAAGCCAGCTGCTGTGGGGTTCCACATCTGGGAAATATCTGGGCCGTCAAACCCACTGAGGTGGCAGAGCAGTGGCTGCCCGGGCTGGGCCAGGGAGGGACTCCTCAGCAGATCAGGAGTTTGCTCTCGGGGTAAGAGAAGGCTCTAGGACCCGACAGTAGTGATGTCGTACACATTGTGTAGGCTCTGATAATGCAGTTTAGGGACTGTGTGTTGGCCCGAAATTTAAAATAAATAAAGGTAAAGGCTTTCCTCTGCCCGCTAACCCCTCTCCACAACCAACTGAGACTCCTCAGCAGTTTCCCCATTCACTGCTGCATCCGAGCTGCCTAGAACTGTTTCTCACGCAGCAGGTATGCGACACCATCACAGTGTGTGCCGCAGAGCTTTGAAGCTGAACCCGTGGCCACCCGGGAGGGGGCTGCATTTACACTGTCCACGCCATCAGCAGAGATGGCTCTGACTCCTGCTAGGAGCCCAGAATGCGCTACCCCAAGAATCATTGTTGGAATCACCAGCTGGAGTCTTGACCTTCCCATCCTCAGAACAGAAGGGAAAGTTAGCCTGAAGCTTCCTCGGACCATTCACTCCTCGGGACCTTGCCCCTGCAGTCCCGTCTGTCCGCAGAGCCCTGTGTTCACTGCCAGAAGCTGACCTCTGCCCCGCAGTGCCTCCCGGCACTGGGGATCCCACCCAGCAGGCGGGGAGACCCTGACCCACCAGATTAATTGCCCGCCTCCCTCTCTGTGTTTTCAGATCACAAGTGTTACAACAGCACAGGTGTGGACTACCGGGGGACTGTCAGCGTGACCAAGTCGGGGCGCCAGTGCCAGCCGTGGAACTCCCAGTACCCTCACACGCACACTTTCACTGCCCTCCGCTTCCCAGAGCTCAACGGAGGCCACTCCTACTGCCGCAACCCCGGCAACCAGAAGGAGGCGCCCTGGTGCTTCACCTTGGACGAGAACTTCAAGTCCGACCTGTGCGATATCCCCGCCTGCGGTAAATACGCGCCACCGCCCCATGTCTCGTCCTCTTTCACCAGGCTCCCTGCACCCTCTGCCCGGAGAACCCAGGAGGGGATCTGAGTGCCACCCTTGCTTGTCTCCCACGCTTTCCAGCGTAGATAAACCTTGTGTGCACACACGGGCAGGGCAGCAAGTGCCCTGCAGGGGAACTGCACCTGCAGCCTTTGCGTAGTGGAAAGAACAGGGCCAGGGGCCGGGGATTTAGCTCAGCAGCAAAAGCGTTTGCCTGGCAAGCGCAAGGTCGTGAGTTCAGTTCCCGGTACCGGAGAAAAACCAAAAAAAAAAAAGAACAGGGCCACCACAGAAGTGGCAGGGTGCCTGTCACAGGGCTTCCTGCAGAGATGGCGCCAGAGTAGTCAGCGGCCTGCAGCCCCTCAAAGCCCAGCTGCTGGCTTGGAAGCAGAAGGGAGGCCGCCCCCTGTGTGTCCCGAGCACACCCACAGTTGGGCTGAATCCCCCCCCACTGCCCCGCAGTCCAGGCCTTCTATGGGTGCACCGAGCCCCCGCCTCATGCAGGGGCACTGCAGGGAGGTGTGTGGGCGTCAGGAAGTTCATGGCATGGCTGGGCCGGGTTGCTCCTCTTTCTAGAAAGTGTTTAGAAGGTGAGGGGAAGAGAACAAAAGCGTTGCTGAGACCTGGGGCTGGGAACCGTTGTGGAACCAACCAGACCTCCAGATCCTAGTTCTAGCGGACACGAGCAGTGGATGCCCCAGGTTTGGAGGGGGAGTGGCGCACCCTACAGGAGCACAGCAGAGGCTGCAGTCCCAGGGCACACACAGCGCCAGTCGTGGCCACGGCCACGCCGTGGCAGTGATTCTGTCAGCACCTGCTGTGGCGGGGCTGCTCATGTAGCAGAGGGCAGGCAGGGACCCTAAGGCGGGAGCCCAGCACATCCGGGGAGGGCCTCGGGGCCCGAGGGCGGGGCCGGGCACATGAGGAGGACCGCTCTTCAGTGCGGCCAGGTGGAAGGCCACAGTCTGTCGGCTCTGCTCCTGCGACCTGGTGAAGCACTGTTCCGAGTGCAGGTGACGCAGTCTCGGCGCATTCTTAAAGGACAAAATGCACCCAGTCACTCCTCTCTGGCAATCAGCACTGTCCTCCAGGTGACTTCTGACCCTCCCTCAGTGTCCCGTGAGTGCCCACCGGAACTGAGGAAGGCAGAACTCGGGCGGTTATGGTGATCCTCAGATCCAAGGGCTCGAGTTCTACTGCCGTGCACTGAGTACTGTATCGGCCTCAGATGCATTTGTTTTCCTCTCAGCAGCCTCCCCAGAGCATTCGCACCAAACGCGAGCTCTGAGACACGAGCTCACGCTCCCTCAGACCGTGCAGGAAGGCAAGGTCACACACACCTGCCCCCACCCCAGCGCCCCAGCGCCCCAGTGCCCGGTGCATGGCATGCTCGTGTCCATCCCACACTCGCAGCCTTGGGCAGGCTAGGTGCTGGGATGGGGTCCACAGAGGGTCAGGGGAGGCCAAGCGCTTGTCCACTCCCACTGTGGTCACTGGCGGGGCTGCACCGTGTACCCTCATCTGTGTGCAGTCAGCTGTGGCCGGATCAAAGCTCATGCTCTGGTACCAGTCATTCCGCTGCCTCTAGTTTAAAGATCTTTAAACAAATACAAAAATGACAACCAGCTCCACTCTGGGTCCCACCATGCTGGTTCCCATTCTGATACACGACGTGGAGAACTGCTCCCGTGCTGAGGAAGAGATCTGCTGTGGGGTTACTCAGTACAGCAGGAGAGTGTTTACAAATCAGTACAGTGATGTGGGCAACTCTCAGGGAGTTCCACGTATCAGCCTGCAGAAGACGCAGTTAAATGTCTGAGGACTGGCTGATTCCAGTCATATGAGTAATAAATTCAGGTGAAATTTACAGCAAGGCAGTTTTCATCACTTAGAATTTTTTTTTTAAAAGAACATTTTCATTTCATTTTGAAAGAAAGCAGTTCTTCTTGAATTCTTCAAGCCAAGCCACAAATGTGTCCTTTAAAGGAGGAGAGAATCCTTGATGTGTGATCAGCACAATGCTGTTGAGAGACCATCGGCTCCCTGGTGAGAAAGTTCTAGAAGACAGGCGTCAGTATGGCTGCCACCTGAGGAGGGCGTCTTCTAATTGCCCCTCAGGAGTCCTCCTCTAATGAAATAATCATGGTAGAACACTACTTCTGTGACTTCCACAACATATCTGATTTTCTTTTTCTCACTTCATTCCTCACAAAAAGCATAAAAAGACTGAGAATTTCCAGCGCCGTTTTACCATGTGAGGAAACCACACGGTCACCAGTTAGTGAACAGAAGCCGGGTCTCCTGTGCGGAGCGCCGCGGCTCTTTATTCTGCCCCAGCGGGTCTCTGAGACCAGAGGACTCCGGCAGCGTCTGCAGACATGGAGATGATCACCACACGGTGGTTTTGGAGGGTGCGAGTAGTAGCTGTGTCTGAGGCAGAGGCCAAGGGCGCTGCCCAGCCCAGCCAAATCCAGAACCGGCCGCGTCGACAGTCATCCAGCACACAGCGCCGTGCGGCCGGGATGGAGCACCCCGGTACAGTTGTGGACTCTAGAGTAACAGTGGTATTAGACAGAAATGGCCGATTATTGGGTGCTTACAATGAGCTAAAATCTATGCCAAAGAGATCCTGAATTACCACAGGAATAAAGAGTTCCGTACCCCCCGGAATAGGGTTTTATTATGCCCATAAAAGGAAACTGAGGCTTAGGGAGGATAGGTAACTTACAGTTAATAAGAAGTGGATCTGAGACTCAAACCTGTAGCCAAGGTTTAAACTGTGACTTGGGCGCATATATGATTATATGGGAGGATGGAGGAGAGAGAGGGAGAGAGGAGACTGACTTTGCTCCTCGCACGAGTTGTGAGCTGGTAGGGAATATCTGAACTGTGTCCTTCTCCTCTGCTCTCAGCGGGATAGGGTCCCATGGGAACACTCCTGCATTCTTTAGTTAAGTCAAAGTTAAGGAGCTCTCATAATCGTCGTGGGGTTTCTTATTTTCCTACTGACAGTGTTCCCATTTCACTTGTTTCCATTTCCTTCAGCTGAAGGAAGTATAGACCTACTAGAGAATGTGAACTTTGCTGTCTCTTCTAGAATAAGAACACTTGCGAGCATTCTGCTGAAGATCACCTGCAGACCTTAAACTCTAGAACAAAATATAAAGTTAAGTGAAACCTGCTGTGAATTCTGGAGACTGGCTCCACTAGGATTGCGTGCATACCCAAAAAGTGCTCAGGCAAAATGGGAAAAAGGGCAAAACATAGTTTGAGCAAGATCTGGCCTCTTCCCCATCTTTTGAGTCCTGGGCATCTGCCCATTAGAATATTCCAACAGTAAATTATTCAGTCACTCCCTGAAAGTGATATACGTTGAGACCTACTGCATCTCAGACTTTGTGAACAGGCAGACCAGACCGCACCCTCGTGGCACTTACAGTCTAGAGAGAATCCGCGAACAAGGCTGAGTCACACCGCTGCGGTCTGCCTCCAGCATTTGCGTCTGCTGTGCGTGCTGCCCTGTAATGGTGACTGCTCCTTGCTGAATACTGTGCTGAGTTCTTTACAGCAACATCTGGCCCAGGACTCAGCTGCCATTTAATAAAAATGTGTCGGATTAATTGATTTAATCCTCGAACACCCACTCTGACTTCCTTTGTCATGAACCACTTTCAGAATCTGAGTTCCTTTTGCTAAAGCTAGGATCCACGGGTCTCAGATCCTGCCCTCTGCCACCATGCCATAACTGCTTGAGAACAGACTCTAGATTATCTCAGAGGAACAAATATGCCTTTATCACTGTCCTTTCCCTCTGATCTCTGGGTCCCCTGGGCCTGTGGAGCGCTGTCCATCAGTGGTCTTCTCTGCACTTCTGAGGGTACAGGCAGGAATGGAGCCGAGTCCCACCTCTCCTCCGGCTCCTCTGTCCTCAGCTGGGCGTTGTCTCAGAGGTCCTGCTTGAGCAGCTCCTCCCGCTGTCCCTTCACCTCTGGTCAGGTGAAGCCAGGTACCGCGGGCTGGGTAGAAACTCAGTTGAAAAAGAAAATTCTGCTGCCATTCTTTCCGGCCAACATCTGGAACCGTCTCCTGGACCTCCATCTCCTGGACCCTCAATGCTGCTTCTCTGCCCAGCTCTGTAGCTGGGGCTGGGGCACATCAGCTTCTCTGTGAGCTCTTCTTGCAGCGCCTTGGCCATTCCGTGTAGGCTGTGTTCTGCACGTGGCTTCTTTCTCCATCCTCCTTGAATTGAGACACCCTATCTCTCTGCAGGACCAGAATCCTGCTGGCATCACTGCCCCCGTGGTCCCGCCATGGCCCTTTATTTTACTTGATCAAATCTTGGGGCCACTGTGCCAGCATTGTCTCTTTCTCCTCCCAGGCCAGGTTCCTCCTCTACCCAACAACCAAAACTCCTGAGCAGCAGTGTTATTTTTACCCCCACCCAGCTTCACCCCCTAGAACCCGCTGATAAGAAAAGCCGTGACCCACGTGTCTCCATCTGGAGGCTGGATCCCTGGCCCACTACTCCTCTATTTCCTTTGAAGACCCTGGCGGGCAGCAGTTTCCCAGAGGGCGCCTTGCCCCGTTCTGTGTCTGAGTAGCCTTGACTTGTCCCGTAATTGTACAAACACCACTCCAGGTTCTGCTTTGTCATAAGCCATTTTCTGCACATGGTGCTTTACAGTTTGGGGCATGGCAGATGTTTTCCAGATTGTGAACGCTGCAGTTTTTAGCTCACTGTCGGCAACCTTCTCCCAGCTCTCATGGAAGACCTGCTGTAAAGTAATTTGTCTTTCAGCCATTGCTTCAAACCAGAACTGAACATTACAGGGAACTGGATGCAGGGAGGGGTAAAGAAAGGAGGTATAGAGCAGTGCTTTTCATAGTGGGAAGCTCTCTGGAAGAGGTATTTTTATGCTACAGAGACTTCCGAGAGATGCTTTAGTTTCCAGTCTTTATGCA